TTTTGAGCCATAAAATGGGTATGATATACGATTGCTTCCAATAGCATATCCAAATGTTGTGAATAAAGAATGGTTGATGTATGTCCTCTCAACTGCTTGTGATTTAAACAATTTGGAGAGAAAGAAAAGTGATTTTAGCAATTCTAAATTTTTGTGTTTTACAGAAAAATGAATTAAAAAAACTACGTAATTACTAATAGTCATAGAAAAATTTGGTAAATGCTAAGTAGATAATTTTATTATATGAAAATTATTGTGGGTTTCGTATAAATCAGTTATTATGAATTTCATATGAATAAGTTAATATCCATTGTGTTATTGAGTCATACAAACAAATAAATTTTGTAAGTACTATATATCTAGGAAGTGAGTTGTGATAGCCACTATTTTTTAACACATATAAACCAAAACCAAAACACTTAAATAACATTTTGAAGTCTGAACTCGTTTTTAACACATATAAACCAAAACACTTAAATAACATTTTGAAGTTATAAACAATCGAATATGTAAACATTAACTGATCATTTGTACTACGGTTAACAACCCTAATCAAAGAATTTGATCGGGTAGGATTACTTAGAAAGATAAAAATTTACGTGTTTGTATATTGATTTAGGCTTCGAGACTAGAGTTTAAGATTTAGGATCTATGTATTATTTTCAATGTTACATAAAATTGTGTGAGTTTAGGCTCTTATATTAGGGTTTAGTACCTCTTAATTTTCGCAAAAGTATCCATTAATTTGCTAAAATTTTTTATCAAATAAAAAGCATATCATGGTTTTTAAATTTATAACTCCCGCGCAAACACAATTAACGCTCACGATAAGATTTTGTATAAAAATACTAATTTCGGTATGAAGTAGGAAATGATCCAGAAGAATATCAAACGTCTCGAGACATATCATATGGAATCGAAACAGCTTGGATTCGATAAAACAACCCAATTCCATAATATATCCGACATCTTTTTTTATATCGAAGAAGAAACATTACCATCGATTATATAATTATGTCTATTATGATCTTAATAACTTAGATTATCTTTTTTTTTTAATTTTTAATATTGATCTTATAGATAATCTTAAATATTGATTAGTTTAAATTGTTCAATTATATTTCATTGAATGTGTATAGTTACTTGAAATAAGTATTTAATTTTGTATTGGATGTAAAATCTCATTTCACAATATTAAATTGCTAATTTTCGATATTATTGTTTGTCCCGCGCAACGCGCGGGTACCTGCTGTTTATTTATATGAATAAAAAAACACGATTGCAAATTCGCACGAGACGTAACGTTCTTTTAGTTGTTTGATATTGAGTTTACCTATATTATATATACACTAGAATCTGATTTGTGCATTACACGAATTTTTGTTTTACAGTTTTATCAAATTTAGTGATTAAAATTTTGATTTGACTGAAAATAAAAGAGATTAATTGATTTTTATTATAATGCATGAAATATGAAGTGATTCTAGATCACTTCGAAATTGATAGTTAATATTTGAAAACAAATATGATTATTTAAAATTTTGTTATCTACATATATTTAGCACAGAATAAATAATGTTATCTAAATAACCGATTAATATTTTGAGGATTAAAATTATCAAAAAAATTTCAATCTTTTTCAATAGTATGATTATTTATCATTTTTCTTCTTTTTTATATCCATCTTATGTTTTTTTTAAATATTTTTCCTCTTTGACAAAATATAATTTTCTTTCATATTATGATTATTTATTGTTTTTCATCTTCTTTATCTTCATCGTATATGGATTTGTTGTCTTTTCATGGAGAAATTGCAAAAATCTCACTTTTTATGTGCACATTTACAAAAATGTTACTTAGGGCTGTTCATTTGCAAAAATGCCACTAATTATAGATTTTTAAACCATATATCTTAAAATTCTAAACACTAAAAAATGTTTTGACCCCTAAACCGCCCTAAACCCTCATAACTAAACCCTAATGGAACATAATTAACCCAAACATAAATAATATAAAGAAAAAATAATTTTGAAAAAGTGGAATTTTTGTAAAGATATGAAAAGTGTGGCATATTTGTAAAGTGACACTTGAAAAGTGGCATTTTTTGAAAAAATTTTTTTTTTCATTTACATTTCTTCTTTTATTATATAGATATATCATTTCTAAATTAAAATTTTGAAAAAGACTTTTCAACTTCAACTATTAATAACACATAGATAAATATATATTGACGTTAATTTTAAAAATACCACATCTTATAAAAATTAATTATTAAATATTTAATTTATCATGAAAGTAAAACTAGTTAAATGTCATGTGGATGATGATGTGAATACATGAGAAAAGTGAAAAACTAACTTA